CACCTTTCACTTGCTGATCCAGTTAACTTGAAATGTTACTGTTAAGATGAACCTTTGTTTGGTAACCACCTTTCACTTGTTTGTTCATGTAATCTCAGATATTACTGTTAAGATGAACCTTTGTTTGGTAACCATCTTTCACTTGCTGGTCCAGTTAACATGAGATATCACTGTTAAGATGAACCTTTGTTTGGTAACCACCTTTCACTTGTTTGTTCATGTAATCTCAGATATTACGGTTAAGATGAACCCTTGTTTGGTAACCATCTTTCACTTGCTGATCCAGTTAACTTGAGATGTTACTGTTAAGATGAACCTTTGTTTGGTAACCACCTTTCACTTGTTAGTTCATGTAACCTCAGATATTACTGTTAAAAGGACTATTGGTTGTTAACTTCAATTGTATCACCTAATTCTTTATTCTTTTTTAATTTCACACCCAGGATTGAGTTTCAACACAAGCATTTATTGCATTAAATATTTTTTTTTTATGGGAACTGCTCAAGTTGCCTCACAAAACCTAGAGGTTTCTAAAATACAAGACTGTGACATCATAATGTATTCAGTGTAACTAACAAAGTTTTGTGTATCTGATGAAAGTATGAGAATCATAAAGTTATGATAGAACCTTTATAACTATTCCAGTAACAATGAAGCTTATATATTTACAGTGCTGCCCATAGTTTGTCAAATAGCTGCATGTCAGATGTTGAACTTCCTGATGTCGGTATTTCTTTTCCAGCATCCAAAAACTGCATGTCAGTATCTCAGCCTCAGGTTAGAACATTTCTTAAATCAGTTGCTAGTGTAAAATATGTATGGTTCTGCAACCCAAACTAAGTTTCTCTCACCTTTCTAAAGATTATAATGCTGAATATAAAATCACACTAAAATAAATAGGGACCCTGAAAAGTGTTATGCTTCAAGACTAAATAAAAACAAAATTAAGAGTAACAAATATTTTTACTTCTTGCTTTTTAAGTTTATATGTCATGCTGTGTTGTAGCGTACAGAGATTCATGGCATGCTCATGTTTTACTGATGTTATGACACTACAAATTGCCCTCTTAAGCAACCCTTATGTGATATCATTTTAGTGTCTACAGTCTGACTGACAGACAACACTCTACTGTATAGTGGTGCAACTGGTTAAAACAGGTGACCCTTCCAAATGGCCTATCGCCCCTGTTTCAGAGAAATTATGAGTATGTAAAAATATTGAAATAAAGATTATGATAATGGATATGTAAACACACTATAGATTATTATAATAAATGTTATGATAAATGTGAAGACTAAAATATCGATTATGATAATGAAGATGTAAACATACTAAAATAAAAATGATGATAATGAACATGTAAACATACTAAAATATAGATGATGATAATGAACATCTAAAGATACAAAAATACAAATCATGGTAATGAACATGTAAAGATACTAAAATAAAAATCATGGTAATGAACATGTAAACACACTAAAATATAGATGATGATAATAAACATGTAAACACTAAAATAAAAATCATGATAATGAACAGGTAAACACTAAAATATATTTGATGATAATGAACACATAAACATAGTAAAATATAGATGATGATAATGAACATGTAAACATACTAATTATAATGCTGGAGAGTGCTAAATCATATATTGTAACAACATTGTGTAGAAGTGCTCACTGTTTTAATGTAACACTTACTATGCAGGAGAGTGCTAAATCGTATATTGTAACAAACTCTTCTACACAGTGAAGGCTATATCTTATATTGTAACAATTTCACTGTGTAGAAGAGTGCTATATCTTATATTGTAACAACTTCACTGTGTAGAAGAGTGCTATATCTTATATTGTAACAATTTCACTGTGTAGAAGAGTGCTATATTTTATATTGTAACAACTTCACTGTGTACAAGAGTGCTATATCTTATATTGTAACAACTTCACTGTGTAGAAGAGTGCTATAATTTTGAAGGTCAATATGCAGTTGTTGATATCTAACAATTATGTGATTATTAGAGTGTGTGATTATTAGTCTTGGCTTCTAATAAGTACTTTAATGTGCAGGAAGGGGATTTGTCTTGTTTTCATGTAACAAGTTATTTACTTCTTGTTTCTATAGGAGGGTATATATGTTTTGTTTATATAGGAGGGTATATATGTTTTGTTTGTATAGGAGGGTATATATGTTTTATTTGTATAGGAGGGTATATATGTTTGTTTCTATAGGAGGGTATATATGTTTTGTTTCTATAGGATGGTATATATGTTTTGTTTCTATGGGGGGGGTTTATATGTTTTGTTTTTATAGGAGGGTATACATGTTTTGTTTGTAAAGGAGGGTATATTTGTTTTGTTTGTATAGGAGGGTATATATGTTTTGTTTATATAGGAGGGTATATATATGTTTTGTTTGTATAGGAGGGTATATATGTTTTGTTTCTATAGGATGGTATATATGTTTTGTTTCTATAGGAGAGTATATATGTTTTGTTTCTATAGGAGGGTATATATATGTTTTGTTTGTATAGGAGGGTATATATGTTTTGTTTCTATAGGATGGTATATATGTTTTGTTTCTATAGGAGAGTATATATGTTTTGTTTCTATAGGAGGGTATACATGTTTTGTTTGTAAAGGGGGTATATTT